CATAAGAAGATGATCGTTAAGAGATGCATTTTGATAACGTGCAGCGGCATCATAGACTAATCTCGTCTTTATTGGTTCTTTGTTGTAATTCACAACGAGTGAAATAGGAATATATGAGACATTAGGCCATGATGTATTCATATCAAATTCCGTGGCTGCTCTTACATATCCATCGTCGATCAATTGCTTAAATTTGCTATTGTAAGCTTCCAACAATTCTGGATGCTTCTTTAATTTAGCTTCTTGTGCCAATGTACGCTTTAAAACCATAGGATAATTGTTGGGTATCTTTGGAATTTCTCCGTTTATCTTCTTCCAGACTAATGGAAGTTCAACTGATCCATCCGGAAGGATCTTCATCTCCTCCTCTAAACAGTCTATTGCTTCCTGTTCTTCTTTAGTTGAACGAGAATCTATATTCTTAATTCCAAGACTTTCTATTGAGCATGAATATTCATATATATAGTCCAATTGTTCATTTGTAATGACTTGATTACTACCATGCGTTGAAATAGACTGTAAAGTAAGTGAGTTCAATTGAAGACTTTCAGGTGCTCCTCCATAAATGGTATAACCCAACTTGCTTCTTAATCCAACAGGTTTTCCACTTCCATTTTGCTTTACAGGCTCTATCGCTTCAAACATATGTGCATCTCTGGATCCAATCAAAATACAGGGAGAAACATCATAATAAGACTCGAATGGAATGTTGCGTAAATAAGGAAATTGTTTCTTCAGCTTTTCAACTTTGAGAGTCCTTGGAGGTAACTGAAGATCCTTTACAGCATAACATTCATTCAGTTCTAAGACTTCACTGTCATTCAAAATACCAGAAATTTTCAAATTCACTTTGATTGCTGGAATTAACTTCATTGATGAATCAGTCCATGAAAGTTCTATATTGCACGGCTCTCCTATGATTCCTAAATCATTAATCAAATCTTGCTTAATTAAGGTCACTTCAGCTGCTGAATCTCCTAATGCAAATCCGAATGCCTTCTTGTCGTTGCCATAAAAATAAGTTCTAAACAGTTTGATAGTTCTGTGAGAACTTTCTCTTTCATTCTTATTACAGACTGATAAAAGTGTATATCCTTTATCACTTGTCTCATCTGCATTTACAAGCGATATAGTACGACAGCCAAATCCTTGATATTGCCTGTTTCTTTGCTGATTATTCTGTTGCTGTGACTGAGGTGATTGATTTGAAGGTCCAGGATCAGCAGATAATGGTGGGGCTGAAGGAATTGGATTTTCAGACTGCTTTGGTGGATTTTCATCTGGCTTGTTTTCGTCCCTTGAATTTGAACGTCGTTTGAATCTGTTGTGAGGATAAGAATTTCTTTTGTAATTACCACGATGTAGAGTAATATGATGCTTTTGAGAGCACTTGCTGGTGCTATCAATATTAAATCCACAGCCTAATTTTAAATTACAATCTTTAGGCTGATGATCTGACGTAAGCAAGCAATTCGAGCATATTCCCTTTGTCTTTACGAAATTATATCGTTGATCCATTGGCATGTGTCGATAATTACGACATTCCAGCGAGAAATGACTCAACTGGTTGCATAATTCGCACTTTTTCTTTAAAGACCGTACTTTTTCCAAGTCATAGCCAATGTATGGTGCAGTCTCCTTGCTTCGGATCTCATACTTGAAATCATCATTGCCGATTTTGCTATCTCGTCCTTGGAATCTCGGGGACGATGACTTCCACCCGGTTCCATTTCTATTCGACGCGACTGAGGTTGTCATGACATTAAAGTTCTTGCCCGATGGTTCCTTTTTCTCAGCAGACTTGTGCTCATTCATTGGGAGCGTTTTAGAAAGTTCATTCAGAAACTCAAACTGTACATCCAATCTTTCTAATCGTGTTGTTCCAGGGAATTTCTCAAAGAAATATTTGTAATATTGTTGCTGATGTGTAGAATCCAATTGATGATGAATATGCATTGATATGCTCATATCGAGTATAGGCAGTTGAGCATATTTACAAGCTGACATGTAGGAAGTAATCTTGGTGGTAATTTCCATGACAGAGGGATGAGTTAATGGTTTAGACAATTTAACTGCTAATAACTTCTTCCTTGCGCTCGCCACAATATTCATCGAACATCCATAGCTTTCTCGAAGGTAACTCATGATCTCATTGGCTGTCGAAAAATTGTAGATGCTATCTACTCTTTCAAGAGGCTGTCCTGACAATGCCTGACGAATCAAATTTTTAGCTAGGCTGTCACAATAACGTCCCTCCCGGATATTCCTGTCAACAGCTCGTTCAAATGTCAGCCATCTGTCTATATTCCCGTCAAACTTTTCAATTTTAGGAAGACACTTGCGAATATCCTTAAGACTTAAGCCATCTTCTTGATTTGCGGCAATTGGAAGCGTATATGAAGAAAAATTATTAATTTGTGATGCATTGGTGAAATTTGGAGCACTTTGATGCTGTTGTTCAGACTGCTGATTAAGTTCTTGAGCTATTTGAGCTAGAACATCATTTGCTGATAGCACTTTTATGCTATATGAAGCTTGATTCAACTGCTTAGCCTGTGTGGCTGTATTTTCGGCGTGAGATTGTCTCAACGCACTAGAAGAGGATTGACCTTCTTCTCCTCCCAACACGCTTGTACTATTAGGATGAGAACTATGATTCATCATCAGGGTAGAACTTATAGCGGAGGAGGTTGTCTCACTCCAAGCGTTTTTTGTATGCTGGGGAAGTTTTGTAGCTTAGAATCTTGCAAGAACAGTCTTTCATTAATAGTTTTTTCTAACTGCTTCATCTTTAGGTCTCGTGCTTCATTTTCTGCTGCTTTTTGTGCGAGTTGATCACGTAATTCCTTCTTTTCCTTTTCTGCTTGTAAGACTACATTTTTCAGTGATGCAAATTCACTTTGTTGCTGGACCAACTTTGTACCAAGAAGTCTCGACACATTAATTGGTTCCAAATTCTTGAAATCGACGTGTAATGAATGCTCAATGATTGACATATCATAAAGTGAATCTAAAAATTCTTCTGATTGATCTCCAGGCATATGTGTTGGTGATGGAATTTCTACAGCAGTTGAGTATCTCTCGAGCCTTGCTTTTAGCGGTAAATTTTGTCTTCCAGACTTGAAAAACTCAGTTGCATAATTGTTGAGAGGATCTGCTGCACATTCTAAACATATCCATGGCGTTTTTTCATTCACTAAGTCTTCCTCAACTGTTTTAGAGCATCTCTGATGAAAAATACGGTCACAAGAAAAACACAGCAAGAATAATCTTGATTCTTCACTGTCAGAATCTTTGCAGTCTCTTTGAAGCAGTTCACAATTATTGTCAGTTGCGCATTTAAAGCCTTGCTTCAACGTGCTGACTGCAAATATATAATTGTCGATATTATCTGCGCCGGGGTTGTTGCTTGTATAATCAATTAGCCACTGCTTGTCCTTATCGAGTAAGTCTTTAAGCGACTTCACATTTGTTGCCATCGTTGAATTATTTTGATGATAATTATTTGTTCAGGATCTTGAAGAATGCCTATTGACGGCTTGTAGACCACTTGCTCGGTCCGATTTGTATGTTGACCGATGCGGGATAATTTGAGTGACTTGATAAGTCTCTTGCCGACTTATTGGATCTTTTGATTGATCGAATGGATCTCCAATACCCCTTAAAGCTCATAAACCGACTTATTTGGTGCTAAATGAGTAATGCTGGCTGCTTTTAGATCTTCTAGATGTCCAAATATGCTCAAACTCTTCAGAATCTTCAATTTCTCGGAATCAATTTGTTGTTGGATTTTTTTTATTTCCAGGAATTCACACGTGAATTTTTCAGCAATTTTTCTAATGTCCTTTCCGGCTATTCCAGTGACTTTTTTCACTGCTCTTTTGTTGATTTCACTATTGTTAGTCACCAATAATCAGGCTTCTTCACTTTCAGTGCCTATAGACGAGGCAAAATGGTTTTTTCTCTCAATCGCGAAATTTTTCCTTAATCGAAGTGAATAACCGACGTAAATCTGACGATTTAATCCAGGATTAATTTTAAGCCAATTAACTGAATTCTTGATGCTGTAGTGCTTCCTTTGATTGTATTCACAATTATTTTGTGAAAATGTCTTTGAGGGTTGGATGATTTCGCAATTTCTGCGAACGCCGTGAAATAAAACAACTAAGAAATATATAGTATAATTCACTTTCTTTATTTCTGGTGTTTGCGTGAGTTCACACTAAATCAAAAGAGGTATAATTAATTATCTAATTAATTCAATATATTTTGGGACTTACAAATAATTGCTTTCACATCCAACTCGTGTGACGTTTTAAGTAAAAAGGGTTAAGCAAATGTTAGGAGGGGTGTGAAAGCTTAGGTAAATCCTCGTAGGGTTCAAACATTTATTAGGGCATGTGAATAAATGGTTTAAAATATATAATACCAAGAAGTCTGTCATTTATAGCAAATGACAAGTATTGACAAATAAATATTTGAGTCGAATGTAGCAATTATTTATGAATCACATAATTTTAATAAGAAATAAAATATTTGAGTGTTTATGTTTAAGATATCAGATTTTATTTGTTCTGTTTCCTTTCGTCTTTTGCGTCTTAATTTTGGATTATGAGTAAATTCATTAGATTTGATAGATTTTGAATAAAAATAAAAGTTCTGAATTTTTTTGGAAATATTTCCAAACTAGGCAAAAATTACAATTCTGTCCAAGATCAACCTAGTCCTTAATAAGTCTCGAGTATATATTGAGCATCAAAAAACAAATTTAAAAATTTTAGAATTCTAATTAGTCTTTTCAACACATCAAACAAACTCAAATTATCTGGCACATAATTGAAAATAATTGACCGTGAAATTTTTTCTTATCTCCCCTCAATTCTGTACAGCCTCAACAATATCTGAGTGAGTTTCAAATTTCATTCTCATTTCTTTCCAGATTTTTATGATTCATGGCTTTTCTCTTTTAGTTGCTGACTGACGACAGACTCTTTTCTCTCATGTTGATTTGAATTATTCTCCCGACTTTCTTATTTCATTCTTTGCTGGCTATTTGTACTGATTAGATCGTAAATTCATTTTGCTGAGAAATTGTTTTTTGATTAATTGATAATTTTTTTTAAGATTAATTGTGATTTTGTAAAAGAATTAAATTTTACTTGCATTTATTTTTTTAAATAAAATAAAGGATTTTGTGAAAAATACTAAAATGCGGCGGTAAGTTTTATAATTTTTTAATTTAAAAAAATATTTTAATATTTATTTTATTCTCAAATTTCATTTTTTATTTCTAAATTTTAACTTTTTTTTTTATTTTTTGTCTAGATCCTGCCTCAATTTTTTCATCTTGATCATATTCATTAATTTTTCAACATCCAAATCAGTCACATTGGAATGCAACTTTGGTTTAGATGGTTGGGATTTTGCAGTAAAAGATGCTTACATATGCCGAGCCAAGACAATTAAATTCACAACAAAAGTTCTGATTACAAATGTTGAAGGTCAGCATGTCAGTCCAAATACAAACGACCGAGTTAATGCATTCCTTATTTTCGACCAAACTTGTGAATATTTTCCAAGCGGAATTGACAAATTCTTCCCAAAACTTGAAGGAATCGCTGTTCAGAAATCAAAACTTAAAGTTATCAAAAAGAATGATTTGAAGCCGTTTACGGAACTAAAGAGTCTGTCTCTTCACAGCAATCAATTGGTCACATTGGGATTTGAACTGCTGAAATATAACAAAAAATTGCAAATAATTTCAATTTTCTTCAATAAAGTCACAAACATCGCCGAAGACATTTTTGATGGATTGGATGAGCTGAAGGAAGTTCATTTCCAAACAAACATTTGTATAGACATAACAGCAAAGAATGCAACAGATATTGAAGCATTAAAGACTAAAATTTACAAAAACTGCTCATCAACTTTAGACATGAAGTCACTTTACGATCTTGAAATTGCTTACGACGAACTGGATGCAGTTTTAAGTCAAAAGTCCCAAGAATTGCAGACTTGTAAAGTTGAAAATATAAATCTAAGCAATGCTCTTGTCATTACTACAACTCCAGTGCCAAAATCCATTGAAACAACAACATTTGATCCTTGTGAATCGAGATTTGAAAAATTGGCTGAAATTGTCAAGAAGTTCGACATCGAATGTGATGACTTTTATGATTCAACATGCATTGCCAATGACGTCATCATTCAATATGAAAATATGGAACCAAAAGCTGTGAAAGTCTTTAACGGAAGTTACTTAGACCCTGCTGAAATAAAAGAACTTGAGATTCGTGGTAAAAATATTCATTTCATGCCAGAAAAATTGGGTATTTTTTTCGTCAACCTACAAAACTTGACAATCAGCAACACAAGGATCACAAGAATTAATGAAAGATCGTTCACAAATCTTGTTAATTTACACACTTTATCACTTCCTGAAAATAAGATCCGTACAATCCACAAAAATGCATTTAGTGACTTAAAAAGTTGTGAAGTCTTAGACATGTCAACCAATAAGCTCACAGAAATTCCAGACGCTATATCAGCCATGCACAACTTAAAGGAACTCAACCTGGAACAGAATCAAATTACAATTTTGAATTGGAAAACTTTTGAGAATCTCGGAAATCTGGAGGAATTAAAAGTTAATGCAAACAGATTAAAACAAATCGGATCGAATCTACAGCAGAGGAACTTGCAACTTGTTGACTTGACAGAAAACATTTGTGTCGATTTGAAGTATCCTGATGAGAATATGGAGACATTAGTGAACATTTTTGCTGATAATTGTACAATCGAGATTGATCTGAAATGTGAATTTAAGATTCAAGGTGATGGTAAGTTAAATTCGGTAGAATTAATCATAATTTAATTAGAATTCTTTATAAAAACTAATCTTAAACTTTTCACAAATTCCAACTTTTTTTGAAAAAAATCATTATTTAAGTTTTTTTTTAATTTTTTACAAATATTCTTTCAGATTATATCTGTTTTGCAGTGGATCTCAACATTAATAGTGAAAATACCAAGATTAATAAAATCACTGGACAACACGCAGCTCAGAAAACAATCAAGGATGTTAGTAAGTTCTCATCAATTAGCCAAAATCTTCAATTTATTCCACAAAGCTTGCAAAATTTCTTCCCAAAATTGTCGAAACTTGAAATCATCTCATCAAACTTACAAAAGCTTTCAGCTGTTAAGAACCTCAAGTGGATTAAAATTACAGGTAATAACTTGGGCGATATAGACAGTTTCACATTTAATGATGCTTTGGAACTTAAATACATTGACTTGGCAAGCAACAAGATCACAAAGATTCCTGATAATTTCTTCTCGGATTTAAACAATTTGAGCTATTTAAATTTAAATGAAAATCTTCTTATCTCATTTGGTGAAAATTTATTGCCAACAGTTAATTCAATTAAGGAATTTTATGGCAGTGGAAATAAATTGCAGAAAATTGCCAATAAATTCATTAAGAATTTGAAATCCGCCGATATTATTGAATTGATGGGAAATTCATGTGTTGATAATAAATTCAATCGATTCGTAGATAATTCGAAGAAATTTATGGAGTTGTATGGTGAGGTTGACTTGAATTGTTAAGTCACTTTTCTATTAATTTCTGGCAGTTAATTTACATAATTTTTAAGATTGAAATCCTCTCAGAAAATATTAATCATTGCGTGGAAACTGAGGATTCATCCTGAAAAATCCCAAAAATCCTAAGAAAAATCCTGAGCCAATAAACACGAAAATGTGAAATGCCTTTTAAATTCCTGATGTATTTGATGAATAATTTCGGGATTCAAAAGAGACTTCACATTTTCATGTTTATTGGCTCAGGGATTTTTCAGGATTAATCCTGAGTTTCCACGCCTTGATATTAATTTAATTTCGAATTTTAATTAGATTTAAGTCAAATTTTATAATTTTTTTGTATTTAATTCCAAGGGTTAGGAACTGATGAATTTGATTAATTTTGATAATATTTTTGATCATTTCTGTTTATTTTTTGGGTCATTTTGGATAATTTTTGTTCATTTTTTGATAACTTTTGATCAATTTCAATCAGTTCCGCATCCTTGTTTAATTCTTGAATTTTCTTAAATTTTAAAGTAAAAATTGTATTAAAATTAAAATCAAGATAAATAAAAATTAAACTTTTTTTTTCAATCCAAAAAGAATTTACTTAGTTTTGATTTTTTAATTCACTTAACTTTTGCAAGTTTTTTGGAACTTTAAATCTGAAATAAAAAAGATTTCTAAATTTGTTAATAATTTATTCGTTTTACAAATTTCAAAATTTATTAAATTTTTTAAATTGACTTTCTTCATTAATTCACAATTTATAGTTTTTCAAGAATTATTTAACATTGTTAATATTATTATTATTATTATTATTTTATTCAACAGTGATTTTAATCTCAATAGATTCCATAATTTTAGTTTCATCTTTAATTAAATTAATATTAAGAGTAAATATTTGAGGTCCACTGAGTGGTCGCATCAAGGATACGAGAATTCGATTTGGCTCTTGTTTGATGCTACAATTAAAAATATCATTAATTAAAAAAAAATATAGTTTAAAATTGAATCTCATTTACCTAAAGTCCTTAACGCTTGCTGCTCTTACTCTATTTCCCTTAAATTCAACACTGACTTTTGTCTTGTGTTCAACTTTGACTTTAATAGATTTGGTTTTAATATTGAAAATTTGATATCCTTGAGGCGTCACCTTAAAGTTTCTAGGAAGAGTCAAACTCTTGTAAGTTAAGTATTTCGGCAGTGCTTTACATTTGTTAATGTCGTTTGCGCATGGTGTACGGACGCATTTTCTAAAATAAGTTAATTAAAGATTTATTAATAAGAGAACAAATCACATAATCTATAATCTTACAAAAATGCTTTGTCATCAACAGTTTTGTGTGTTTTGTATTGTTCAGGACATGTAGCGTTCGAAAGTCTTTCTGAAAGTATCCAAAAATGTTATTATTGACACAGATTTTCCCTAAAGACTAAGCGCAGCAACAAAACTTACCAATACATTTTTTCCTGTCAAATCCAAGTACCATTCCAGATGGGCAATGACATCTAAAGGATCCCATAACATTTACACAAGTATGTGAACATGGATTCTTTTGGCATTCATCAATATCATCACATTGAGTTCCATTTGGTTTATAACCTCGTCTACAGAAGCATTGGAAGTTTCCTTCAAGATTCTTACAATAATGTTGGCAGGGACTGTCGAGACATTCATTGATATCAACGCAACTTTCAGTTTCGGAGTCGTATTGGTAACCTAATATACATTCAATTGGTAAATTAACTTTGATTGGTTCATTAAAGGAAGAATCTTCTGGCTCTGATTCAGTTACAAGCACAATTGGTGCTGGTTCAACTTCTTCAGTGTCATTAACAACTGTGTATCGATAATCTCGGCATTCCATGTAATCCTCATCAAATTCATATCCAACTTTGCAAGTTTGTCTTGGAATACATCGGTAACCGCCATCAAAATTTTCACAATCTTGCGATTCACAGCATCCATTGTTCTTTACTTGACATTCATCAATATCGTCACATTTTGATGTAGCGTCGTTCCACATGTAGCCTACACTGCAGGAGTGTTTTTCTCGTTTATGTTGTATCAACGGTTGCGGTGCGTCACAACATTGTGTCATAAGCGATTTAAAATTAGCCGGCACATCATTGATCTTATTTCCGATTTTACAGACCGCACAGCATGTCAAATGATCTTCATTTTGTGGATCACATTTAAAATGTGATGGATCAAAAAAATCTTTATTATTTAGCATGCAACAATGTTTGATTGTTGATCGACATAGACCAGCTGGAGGATTCATCATGACATTGTCGATGCCGGCATCACTACAATTTGGCATATATGTGCCGATGTTACAACAGTTAATCAAGAGATCCGTTGTGTCATATTTACTGTGTGCTAAAAATAGACAGAAACAAAATTGAAATTTAAATATTTTATTGTTGTTGTTGTTGTCATTGTTAGTGCTGTTCTTGACATTGAATAAAACATCTTTTTTTTTGGAAGTAAATGAGACAGTTGACATTTTAATTAATTGATATATGAACTTGTTTTTGGAGCTGATTTTTAGAGGAATGGGTTGGGATTTATACAGATTGTCTACTATTTATTACGTAATGCAGAAATAGGATTTTCCAGGGAATGAGGTTGATAAAAAATTCAAACTCTACTTAAAGGCCGTTCCACTAAAACAGATAATTTTTAGACCCCCTTCCCCCCAAAATGTTGGACGTCATAAGTGAACGACCCCTAAAGAGTTGTTAATATATTATGAATTTATTATCATTGAACTTAGAGTCATCTTTAGGTCAGTCAATATCAATAGTAAATTGATTGTCAATAAAAATTAGAAAAATGCGCTCTAAACTCTCAAACATAAATTTTTCTTCTAACCATTCATTTTATATATCTTCATTCAATGGTTTTTTAATTTTCGTTTTCTATTATTTTTTTAATTTTTGCAAATTGTAAACCACGAATTTAAATTTGCGAGCATCAATAAATGAGAATTTTATGAGTTTGAGCGAAAAATATTTTTTTTTCTGTTTTGCATTAACATAAATTTTATTTCATTTCGTTTCGCCAAACATTTTTATTCATCTCTTTGTCAATTTTCTTTATGCATTCAGAAGAGTTTATTAGCATGTCAATGGATCTGAATATAAATAAAATTAAATTATTTTTTTCGGTGCTTAACAAACAAAAAAAAAATTAATTAAAATAGAATTCGTCAATATTTGGAAATAATATTGAAAACATTGAATTACTGCATAATCAGGTGCGAATACACGTTCTATAAATGTCAAATTAGAATGCAAATTTAAGAGAAATAAAAACTATAATCCAGTTATTTATACAATATTGGCATATATCATTAACAGTTTGTGCGAATATCAAATTTAGTCGCAAATGTCATCCGAGTCGTGATCCGAGACTTTTGAATTGTGATATTTTGTTGATGAATAATGCTTGATTATATCCAGTCATATAGAATGTGCAAAGAAATTGATTGTGCTTTACGATTTATAAAACTAGTTGGAAGTAGTATTTGTAGGGTGGCCATCTAATTTTTATGAAAATACAGGACATTTGATAAATTTCCTAAAAAATAAAGGACACAGAGGAAAATTTGAAAATTAACGGAAATTTTCGTGAAAAAAATACAGGACCTGGAACAAAATTTTCAAATTTATACAGGACAGGGTTTAGAAATACAGGACTGTCCGTTGTAAAACTACGCAGATGGTCACCCTAAGTATTTGCTTTGTTTATGATTTTGTGGGGGACGATGGTTAGAGGATTTGAACTAAGTTCTATGAACCTTATCTTTCATTTTGACAGCACTCTTTATAATTATCGATCTCTGGTGGGAATTGAGCCCACGTCCCCACAAAAGAAGGTTACAAATAATTGGTCTGCACCACAAAAACCCAGTCACATTTGCCTATATACCCGAACATACAATGAGCATGCTCAGAGCACATTATTTGTGAGCCTAATAATTTATATATGGCATAACAAATACTTAAATTATTATATTTTTACAGGCGAACTAAGTTCTTTGAAGTTTGGATCTTATTGAGCACCAATTTTCACGTTTTCGATTTAGCTGACATTTTTTTAAAAACGGTACACAATTAGCTCTTGAATAAACTCAGTAAGTGCACTCATATAAGAATATAAAAAAAATTATGTCACACAGAAGTGAGTTTGCTCATTTTATGCTCATGAGTATATTCAGTAAGTGAACTCATATGAGTGAATTCACATGAGTATGTTCTTAATATTCTCAAGAGTATACTTATTGAATGCACTCACGTGAGCTTATAAAGTTTTTGTAAAAAAATAAAGTGAGTACATTCGTAATGAACTCCTGAGCATGCTCAGTTGAATGAGCTTGCATGAGTATAATTTTTGAGTACACTCACTTATATGCTCACTTTTCTGAGCATGCTCTTTGTATGTTCGGGATATATGGCTCGATACCCCAGATTTCACTCTGCTCAGACACCAAAATACCATGAGAACATCCATATTGTTTTAAAATGTTTCCTCAAAGTGCTATATTTATCATAATCATCGCAATATTTAACTTTTGTGAGTCAACAGATATTTAACTAGCACTTCATCATATTTTGATTCTTCACTGACGCTCAATGGAGTAAATATTTGCATTTTTTTGTTAAGATTATCAGATAATATATGCTAATTTTCATCCAAACTAAGCAATCCGATGCAAAATCTTAAAAATTCAGAAGAAAAATCTACAAGACATTTTCGAGCATCTGCAGATTAAATAATAAATATCCACAAAAATTGTCTTATGTAAGATTTATAAAAAAACATTTTTTCTATGAAGAAGAATTCTTCAAAATAAACAGACACGCTACGCAAACAATTCCACATTCATAGTCATCCACGCGATAATTGCAGCCATTCATATCGTAAACTATACAATTCATACACAAATGAGTGCGTAGTGACATAACGACAAATTAACGCATCAATTTATTTGCGCAAATTGTATGAAAAACTTGATTTATTGTCGGAATTCTTCGACATCTCTTTTTTCATAAAAAATATTCAGCTTCTTTTTGTTCTACTGTGCTTGATGACAACACGTGCGCGTAAATTTTAACTGCCAATCGTGGCTGATATTTTGCTTGTGATACTTTTATTTAGGTTGAAAAACGTTCTTGAGATTTTAAAAATAGTAGAAACTAGAGATATCAGATAGGTACCTTTGAAAAGGGTCTCATCAGAGCATGACAGGTTTTACAATTGACTAGGCAACACTTTACGATTGCATGCCTAGTCAAAGTTTAAATAAGTGTGCCTAGTCAAAGGCAACACTTAGCCAGAGGCACCACCAGGTAATAGGCAACGCTTTTAACCTATGTCTAGGCGCTGCCTATGGCATCTCTCACTGTCATGCCCGACTGGCATATTCCCATTAAGGCAAAACTTATATTAAGATATCCAATTTTTTGCGAAATTTTTCAAACAAAAAAAAAGCACTTCCATGAATCTAATCTAGGTTTTGCCTAGTCAAAGGCATGACTACGATAGACAGTGCCTAAGTCTAAAAGTCTTTGACTAGGCAAGGCTTGACAAAGGTCAATTATGATGGCGTTCTAAAGACAATGCCTGGGATAGAATTTCGCTTTTGATAGGAAATTGATAAGGTGTGGAGTAAGGTGGGTTCGAGTTTGATGAGGTTTGTGAAGTCATGTGAAGTTTTGTGGTATAATTGACCTTAAAAACTTTATGTTTATTTGCGTCTTACAGTTATTTACGAAATAGTAATCAAATTTAAACCCTGAAAAAGGGCGACACGGGTGCCCCCGAATAACCTAGTTTAAGTATAGTTATCATTTATCTACGCGGATAATAACCGAAATCAATAACCATAACACTTAAGTATCCTTAAGTTTAAATGGGTAGTGACGTATTTAATGGGAAAATAAAAGCATATTCTGGCATTTTAAATCCAATCACTCTTCAATCGTTCGAAAGTTGTAAAATTTTGCATCAACGCGTAAGATAACATCTTTATTTATAGCACAACAACAACCATATGATCAATATTTTATTATTAATTCAAACGTTTCAAAAGAAAATGTTTTAAAAAGCAGATTTTTTACAAGAAGAAAATGCAATAACATTATAAATTTTTCCCAAAAATAAATTAAAAAATGATTTAATAAATCAACAGTTAGAAAGTCACGCTGACGTAATTTTGAAAGATCTATCGATTGTTGATCTTTTAACATCCTGTGTATAATATTTCGCGTGTATGTCAGCGTGTTTGTTCTATTTTCATTAAAATATCAAATACTAGTTTTAATAATTATAGTTTTTTGATGTTTAAATATGAAACTATTTAAAACTTGAGTGACTTTAAAAAAACTATTTTATTTGAAGATTAAAACATCTAGGTTCGGTGCTGGTCAAGGCGTGAAAACTCAGGATTCATCCTTAAAAATCTCAAAAATCTTAAACGGTTCCTAAATCTTAGACATGAAAATGTAAAATCCCTTTTAAATCCCGAAATTATTCAGCAAATGCATCAAAAATATAATTTGGGATTTTTCAGAATTTTTGATTTGTATTTCATTTTATTTGTAAGTAGCCAAATGGCTGTGTTACAAAATTAAATCATATTTGGCTACCTAGTGCATTTTGTTCTTAGAAATTATTATTTTTATTTTATTATTAGCATCACAATACGTCTTATAGAAATATTCTTTAACCCTAGATTTAAATAAACTTATTGAAAATTTGTTCTTAATTGTCTGCTCGAAAGAATTGTACAATACTAGCCCTCTAATGAAGAAAATTTGACTACCTAACTGGGTACGAGTAGCTGGAATGACATAATTTTCTCTCTGTCTTGTTCGATAGTTGTGTCTTTCATTAGCAGTTTGAATATTGACACTATTTTTAAGCATGTTCGACGTAATTTTAAAGACATGAATTAGTCCTGAGTTTGCATGCATTGGTGCTGGAAGAAACTTTATTGATTTTTTCATCGATCAGGATCGCAGTTTCTTCAACTCGTCGCACCACGCAAGAACACACCGTTTAGCTGGAAATCCTCTCACAAGTTCAGATCTAGCTTTTTAATGATTAGGGTACTGAATCTCTCACGAATGGAACAAAAAACAAAATGTCTAGATAATCATCAGACATGACTTGTTCGTCGGTGCATAAAAGGTTGAAAAATTATGCCCTGCATGACTATTTGACAAACCAAAAAATAATGAAAGAAAAAATCTGATATTCCTATGATTCAGGATTAAGACTGTCGGAAGAAAATTTTAATTTAGATCAAAGAAAACGAAAAACGACACTAAACATGATGGCGAAAAAATGCATAAAAGAAGAAGAAAAAAAAA